TTCCAAGCTCCACGTCCACTTCATGGGGCACATGGGCATGAAGCCGCACAAGTGCGATTTCTGTAGCAAAGCTTTCAGTGACCCCAGCAACCTACGGACGCACCTCAAGATACACACCGGTAAGGGCTGGGGACTTCCTAGAGATGCCTGTGCTAGTAAAACATTGGGGTGGGACCTGTCCTCTCCAATCCCTTGGCCAGTTGGCAGGGCATAGCTTGTGTCCGTAGATCCAAGCTCTTAGAGAATCATTGAATGTTTTGGGTTGGAAGGACCTTTAGAAATCTAATCCAACCCCCCTGCCACGGGCAGGGACATATTTCACTAGATCTGGTCACTCAAAGCCACATCCAGCCTGGCCTTGAACACTTCCAGTGGTGGGGCATCCACAGCTTCTCTGGGCAACCTGTGCCAGTGTCTCACCACCCTCATTGTAAAAAAATTTCTTCTTTGTGTCCAATCTATATCTATCCTTTGTCAGCTTAAAACCGTTGCCCTTTGTCCTGTCGCTAGAGGCCTTGGTAAAAAGTCTCTCTGCATCTTTCTTATAAACCCCCTTTAAGTACTGAAAGGCCACAGTAAGGTCTCCCCGGAGCCTTCTCCAAGCTGAACAACCCCAACTTTCAGCCTTTCTTCACAGGAGAGGTGCTCCAGCCCCCTGATCATTTTTGTGGCCTCCTCTGGACCTGTTCTAACAGGTCCATGTGTTTCTCGTGCATCCAGCTCTGGGGTCCCCAGCACTACTCCAGGTGGGGTCTCACGAGAGCAGAGCAGAAGGGGAGAATCGCCTCCCTCAACCTACCTTCCCCAGAACGGCACCGTCCTGACTGTCTGTGGGAATGATCTCTAGGCCACGCTGACCCCAGCTAACACCTGGGCCCTGCCCGAGAGAGCGCGGGGTGGCGTGGGATAGGACTGCGCGGGGTCCAGGGCTGGGGGTGCCCATAGGACAGTATGTAGACCTGTGTGCTGGTTGATTGTGCCATGTCTAAAAGCATTAGCTGAAGTTGATCACAGTTGGGAAGAAGCGTTGGCCTTCGTCTGGGAGGTGGGAACCCCTTGTTCTCGCACAGCGGATCCAGTGCTGGCAGCTGTGATAAAACAAGGGCTCCCTTCTGCTCATGAGAAAAAGCCAACGGAGTTTGAGAGCTTGTAGTGTGGACGGTTGTCCACTCACTTAAATATGGGGCTGAGATCTTTCCCCTCTTTCCTACTTGAATTGCTTTTCATCTTAAGGAAATGGCGTAAGACTGAAATCGGTGACTCTGGTGTGAGACTGATGTGGATAAGGCTCAGCTCTGTCACTCAACAAAACTTACATCTGAACGTGCTGTTGACTTCTGTGGGCATTGGGATGTGCCTGGAGGCTTCGGGGATAGAGGGAGAATTGTCAGCAGATCGGTGAATGAGTGCTAGAAGAAGAAAACAAAATACTGACAGATTTTTCAGCTGTGTAGGAGAGGAAATAGAAAAAGGCATGGATCTAACACAGAGTGAGGATAGGGGGAGAGGGTGAAGGTCAAGTACAGGCCAGCAACGGGCGGTGTGGATATTTTTGCCTCTTTTTTTTCAGTAAGGTTGAAATAGATATTGGGAATCACAAGGCAAATCACAGAGCTGGAAAGGGAATAAAACTGGGAGTTCAGTGCACTGGAGTCAAGTGTAGGAAGCCGTGGGCTCAGTCGTGAGGAGGTAATAACCTGATCTAGTACAGATGTGGTATACACAGCCATAATGCTCAGTGGGCTAGGGATTCAGGTGGTATTCAAACTTACTCTGAATTCAGTAGCATGCAGGGGTTTTGAAGTGTTTCTGTCAAGGAATAATGAAAGAACTACAGATAAGTGGAAAAACAGGGTAAAACATAGACGTTACTAAAGAGGCAGTGAGCTTTGTTCCTGCGTGGTGTTAGATAAGGGAACTCGTGTTTCTAGGGAAAGGCAAGGTAGCGCATCAAACGTGGTTGGGCTCCGGTAAGGCATCCGATACAGTTCCTGGGGGAAATCCGTGGAGGTGGGGAGGTGCTAATGTACAGTAACCAGATGGCTACCGTGGTTACTATTAAAAAGGAGGCTACCATTATTTTTATTCAAGAATTCATCTGGGATAAGCCTAGTCTTGTTAAGTGTTTGCCTGAATCTCCGATGGAAAATTTACAAGCCTACTGGTGACGTTTTGATACGCAGAACAGGGAGGCACGGTTGGTGTAGACAAGAAGCAGAAAGTCTGTCTTACAGGAAAGGCTGACTGACCACAAGCACTGGAGGAAGAGGAGTCCGTGGTGCTTAGAAGGACAAAGTGCAGACCCGTGCATCACATGAAGGGCTCAGTCATTCAAAACAGTAGCACGAAGTGGGTTTTTTGGCCTGGGGACATGGGGTGGGAGATGAAGAGCTTTGGGAATGATGAAATGAAGTCAGATGCCTGTTTTTCACACAGCTAAATCTAGACTGTAATTCGGTAAGTCTTTACGTTGAGTCCGAAGGAACTGCAGGAGGAAGTGGGTCCTGTTCACAAAGAATCTGCCCTTCTCCAGGGTAAAATTTTATTCCTCAGAAACGGTCAGGCTCGTTTGCTTCCTGTATTTCTTGGGACACTGACTGACAACGTGTGGGTGTATGTGTGTAATCGTAGGTCAGAAGAATTATCGCTGTACTCTCTGCGACAAGTCGTTCACCCAGAAGGCTCACCTGGAATCGCACATGGTCATCCACACAGGGGAGAAGAATCTGAAGTGCGATTACTGCGAAAAGCTATTCATGCGGAGGCAGGACCTCAAGCAGCACGTACTCACTCACACGCAGTAAGTGATGTCACAGGATGGGTTGGACTGGCCAGCGCAATAAATAATGAAGCTGAACGACCCAATGGAGAATCTTCCACTTTGCAAATAGTTTGGTCTAGGGAGTACAGGTTCATCCTCTAAACCGACAGATCTGTCAGTCTGGACAAATTCCTTGTTACTGGCTGAAGTTGTCCTGCTCTAGTGTTTGCAGTATTTTAATGACACAGTACATTCCAGGCATGCCTCTTTGCCATTTCACAAGACTTCGGGAGTGCTCACCATTTTGAAGTGAGAGGAGGGATTGATTTACACGTAGCTCTCTGCTAAGAACCGTTCCCACATCCCAGCATGACTGTGAAGAATCATAAACTCCTCAGTGCTATTCTCAAGGCTGTTCTCACCGAGTAGCTTGTTAGTGAAGTTTCCCTCTCTGCACTGGGGGGGGGTGGGGGGAGGCTGTGCAGCCATTCCCAGCTCTTGCCTCCCCCCCAGTCTCAGTCATGCACTTGGTCTGCTGTTCCCCCTGCAGGGAGATGCCCACGGTCAGGGCAGATCCCCACCCCTACGTCCTCCTCGAGTTACCTACAGGTCTCTCCCAGCCCCTCGGCTCTCTGCCAGGCCCCATCGTTCCTTTTGCTGTGAGACTCTCTCCGTCCTGTTTAGTTACTCCCAATCCAAGGTCCTCCCTTAAAGGCTGCTTGCCCAGAGCTGATCCCTCTGCTTATTTCATTTTCAGCATTTGGTTCTTGTACTCACTTGGAATCGGTTGCTGCTTCTGTCACGCTGCCTAGGAGACAGCATAGTGCAGCTAGCGTGAGCAAGAGGGAGGCAGATAGAGAGAAGGACTTGCTGTGCTGCTTGTTCTTAGGGCCAGAGCCAAAAGCGCTACTGCTGGGAGGTGTTTTGCACAGTCATCTGCAGAATTTGACTGTTGCTGCCTGGTAAGCCTCTGCTTATTATTTACAGACTGAGGGTTGTTAGCAGTTTTGTTTCCATTTTTATTCTTTTTTTTTCCCCCCAGTTTATGCAGGGTGGGAAGGAAGGAGACTAACCTTTCCACCAGGGCAACATCTCTGCCCTTGCCAAAACATGGAGCTTAACCAGAGTTTGGTTTTATGCAAAAAGTAAACAAACAAAACCCTTGTAGAAGTCTTTCTTCTTTAATTTATCATCAGGAAAGAAAAACAGTCGGTTGCAAGCTAGCAGTTAATCCAAAAAACCTGGCTTTTGCCAGTGATGTTGGCGGAGCCGGGGGTGGAGGTTGAGGAACAGAGATGTATGTAACTGTGTGAGAGAAAACTGAGCAGTATTTACACTTTAGTGCTGCCGTAGTGCTGTTATTTCTGGTCTGCTTCTCCTTCAAGCATATTAAAAATACGATTTAGGAGCAAGACTGACCACCCCACTACATAATACAGTATCAGCTGCCTTGTAGCAGGAGCAAACTGTAACTTTTTCATGTCTTGCAGAGAACGGCAGATCAAGTGCCCCAAGTGTGACAAGCTGTTTCTGAGGACAAATCACCTGAAGAAGCATCTCAATTCACATGAAGGAAAGAGAGACTATGTCTGTGAAAAATGCTCCAAGGCTTATCTAACCAAATATCACCTCACTCGCCACTTAAAAATATGTAAAGGCCCCACATCCAGCCTCTCAGCTCCAGAGGAGGAAGAGGAGGAGGATTCAGAGGAGGAATTAATAGACTCTATGAGGACTGAAGACTGTAGGATTAACAGTGGAGTCTATTCAACAGGTGATGCCCTCTCTGGACACAAATGAGAAGAGAGAGGGAAATTTTCTTGGATGGTGGAACTGGGGAAGGAAGAAAAAACCTCTTCCTTGTTTCCCCAGTCAACAGCATGTGTCAGATGAGGAGTTTTCCTTCTGTTTTGGTCTCTGCACTACCACCGCTTCATAAACTCTGTAGCCAAAACACTGAATGAGAATGGATCATGCACGTGAAAACGAACAGTTGCTAAGAAGGAACTACAAGGCAAGGAGATTTTTTTTTTTCACATACACTGTGCATACTTCTTTTCCAAATCACTCAGATTAATCCATCCAGTGCCGGGATACATGACACACCTTGCATAGCCCTTTGAGTAAAGAGCCACAAACCAGAAATGTAGTCAAGTGATTGCAGTGACCTGTAAGCCAGCTGTCCTTAACTGCCAAAGCCATGACAGTAAGAAAAACAAACAAACAAACAAAAGGGTGGTGGCAGTTGATGTGTTTTTAATACTTTTTAACTGAAGGATGTAGTTTGGCACAGAGCAAAGACTGTCAATGCTCAGGTTTCCTTCTAAACATAAAAAGCCAGTGAAATCAGCATTTGCAGACAAAGCAATTATCCCACTACAGAGAATCAGACATTGGCTTTTGGAGAACAGTTATTGCCTCTTCTCACTCTAGAACATGTAAGCAGGTGAAGCGGTAAAGACTCTACAGACTCGGTAAGGAAGGGGCTTGCAGACGATCCGAGCGCGTTTACAGTATATATTACTTCTTGTGCTGTAAACCTTTTGCCACCTAGAGTGATGGGAGGGTTTGCTGCTAATATTATTTATGGAATGAAAATGTATTTCATTGGGTTGTTTTCTTTTACAAAAAATAAAAGATGTGGCTCTTTTCTAATGTTCTTTTTAAATATTTACACATTTTGAGAAAAAGATTCTCGTTTCTGTTAACGATGTTAAGAGAAACACCACCGCTTTTTCAGCGTCTGCCTCTCCCAAGCTTTCTTGGGCCAAGGTAGGGGTAGGAGCACCTCCATGAACAGGCAGAGCTAAGAAATGGTCTCTAAGTCTTGAAGACTTGCTGTGTGGCTCCTCTGGCTGTGCTGTAAAAGAAGAGTAAGCTGAGCTCTGCTCTCCGACGCGGTAGTTGGAGGTTCCCTTGTGAAAGAGTCTCCAGTCCTTGCCCTAAGAGGCCTCAGCTCAGCTGTAGCTCTCCCTGTGCGCTCTGTTTCCTAGAGAACTCCCTGGGTTCTTCAAACCTGAAAATGCATAATGCTTGCTCTCTGAGATCAGTATGAGTGAGTAAAAAGCTCCAGAAAGACAGGTTGAGGGATTTTGTTTAGTCAAGGGAAAGCTGTGTTGCTTGCAGTGGGATAATTTCTTCCTAAAACAAAAAGCAACTTCTAAAGCTACAGTGGCAATTAATACCAGGAGCAGAGATAACAGAAATTACTACTGTCAAAGAGCTTAACACAAAGCATTTATTTCAAATGAAGCTTCTCAGTGGAGAGCAGGTGTCGTTCTGGTGCTTTCACCTTCTTCAGCTTCACAAAAGCAGTCGGTCATTTGTTGTCCACACATTTACTACTGCTTGGCAGAGAGAAGATTGAGGCAGGAATCCCAACACAGCCAAAATATTCCTGGGTCCTGCAGGAGCCATGCTGAACACCCATCACCAGACTAGAAACAGCTGAACTGGATTTAGAAGCAGCCACTTAACTTCAAGGGACTGGAAGGAAACCTGCAGCCCTGCCTTTTCCCCATCTGCAGTTTGTATTAATACAAGTTACCTGCTTTACCTCACCAAATGACTTGGGGAGCTAGGGTGGAAAGCAGTGGTTAAGATCTTGTCAACTAACTGCACTGACACGACGGCTGCTTTGACACCGGTTGCTTTAATACCCAGGGCATTTTTGCAGCAGCAGCTCTTCCAGTGCTCACAGGGGAAAGCACTTTGCAGGAGGAGAAGAGTATCAATTAACTTCTGGCCTGCGGTAGGGCACTTGGGTGATCATTTTAAACATGAGGAAATTAATTGAGTGGCATGCCTTGATTAGGTTCCTGATGCTATAAACGAAGCCTTTAAGTCAGAGGTTGGGCTGATGCTCACCATGTTCCTCCCTAGCTTCAGGTTTCAGACAGAAATGCCTGGGAGCAGTTAAGAACACGAGTATGTAACATGGACAGCTTTCACCAGTGCCAGGCACCAGCTGAGCTCCCCACCCTCGCTTTGCGTCCTCACAGCCTCTCATCCTCTTCTGAGGAGCAGCTCCTTAGTTCAGGTCAAATTCTCTTTATATATATATATATATATATATATATATATATATATATATATATATATATATATATATATAAAATATATATATATTACATTTGGAGCTTGAAGAAAAGCCCAATGCACATGAAACATCAATAAGCTTCAGGTGCTGTGGAACCAGGGAAAAGAAACCCTTGATCTTGAGGGGATGCAGCTGGGATATTTCTCATTTGATAGCAGTCATCTGAGCTGTTACAATACATTTCAAGATTCTACTCAGGGACTCCAACTTACTGCCCAAGAAATACTCTCAAGACTTAAAAAGTTACGCAGAAGAACTTTTGAAATCTGTATTAGAAATCTGTGAATCTAGCTTCAAATTAAGGATAAATTATCTATTTACACTTGTCATTTCATTCAGCTTTTGTTTATTTCTTACACAACGGCGGTCTGAAGTGTTTTTCTTTATGCCCTTAGAAGGTATTTACCTTCTTTGCAGTACTCAAACTCCTGGTAGCAAATGAACATTTTTCTATTGACTGTTTCATTTTATGTATCAACTCCAGTAGCCCCTGTTTCAGGGATCATAATCTCAGGCAGAGAAGCAAGTGATTTAATCTTTCAAAGCTGGTACGAAGCAGGAACTTAGAACCTCTGACTTAGAGCTAAACCGCATCACCATGTTCCTTTGAGACAAAGAAGCCTGCAGAGTGCAAGACGTTCAAGTAAGTTCTATGAACTCTCACCAAACGGGGATTTGTAGAATACACGTTAGTCGTAGTCCCATTACTTTGATTTTTTGACATTTGGTCTATCACGATTCCATTGCTGTCTCCAAATCATTGCTGCTGCTGCTGGCGGCCGTGGAGCTGCGAGCCACAGAGTTGGCACTAGCCAGAACAAGTCTCTCTCTGTTTCCAAAAACTTCATTCACTGCAACACAGAGAGGGGATGGCTTTACCCGTCACGCTCCCAGACACAAGGGAGGTAGAGCAGGCGTAGCACGGCGAGCATCACAGAATGGAATGGAAATCCTAACCCGGTGCAGGTTACAAAGCTTCCCCCTTGCCCCGAGTAGGGAGTTGAAGCTTACATGTCAGAACAACCTCCCACATATGATGCTTAAATTACGAGTCCTGTTATTTCTCCCCCAGAGCATCTCTAGAGGTTTCCCAGTGCATAACTCCTGCATCTAACTACTGCGAAATGGATTAGTTTTGTAAAGCAAAACATTAAGATTAAATAATTAATTTCTGGTTTTAGTCTCTCTGGTTTCCACCAAGCTCTTCAAAGCCTTCTTCAAAAATTCATGCCGTTTAGTTATATGCAGTTAAAACAATCAATCAAAATCAGTCCTCACTTTCATTCCTACAATTACTGAAGAATGTGATACTCGATTACACCAGGAACATTAAAAGTAAAACATAGGTATTACAAGAAATTGGCTATTACACTTCAGCTACAAGAAAATAAATTATGTGGCAAACATGATTCTCCAAGTTAGAAAAAAAAAAAAAACAACATTTTTTAAAGCTGAAAACGTGAACACAGGCAGTCTTGGGGTATTCAAAAATATTAACCTACAGTTTCTCTAAGAGCCACAATACGTTCCTGAATACACAGATACACCCTGGGGGCAAGGGAAGAACCACAAGATTCAAAGAAATTAGAAAGTTACCTGCAGAAATCTTGCTTATATCCCAAACACGCAACCCTTCTCGCTCTCCTCCAAAGGCAAAAACAAATGGGAAATCAGGGCAGCAAGCTGCGCAGAAGAGAACACCCTGGGAGGGTGGGAGGAAAAAAGAGAAGCATTTTTTAAAAAATGCTATCCTAAAATGAAATTGACATCTGAAAATACTTTCAACCAAGCAAGTTTTAAAAAATGTAAGCTAAGTTGCCTGAAACTTATTTTGTAAAGACACAAAATTCAAGTCAAGAGCTGCTAATTATGAACAGTAAATCACATCTTTGTCTTGAACCTGGCAGATACACGTTGGAGCACCTAGAGCTCTACTCAGAACACTGTATCTGGTATCCAGGTCTGAGGCTTTGAAGCACTCTGCCAATTGCATGTTGAATTGAATACTGCAGGGCAATGAGAATGATTTACCTAGAATACGCAGATGTGATGGGTTTTTTTCTTAAAAGATGTTAAGTAAAACAAGATTCAAGCTAGACAAAGAAGAATAAGCAGACGTAGTCTATATATAAACCTTCTTGGAATCAAGGAATGAATATTCATTTCAAATGGTATACCCTACCATTTTCATATCCCTGGAATGGATTAAACTCGGTCTGTCTCCCAGGATATCCCAAATTTTCACGTATTTGTCAGCAGATGATGTCACAAGGCACCCTTTGATCTGACTGCTTAGTTGTAGCCCTGGAAGATTAAGAGTGCAGCAGTGTGAGAGCAGCAGATAATCATTTCACAGAGAGGAGGATACACTGAAGTGACATCATGAGAACAAACCCAATATTCTTCTCACACTAAACTCTGTTCCAGCACAAAGGAGCGAAAGATAAATGAAAGTTTCACGCTGCCACTGCTCCCCAGAATGAGAGCAAACTGACTTCACGTAGGCCTATTTTGTCTCTTACTCCAACAGTAACAGTGCAAAGATGCTACTGTTCTGCTTCTTACTTCACATAATCTGGGCTCCCAGGTAATTTTCTTCATTTACTTTCCAAAGACCATCTCTTTTGCTAACCAAGATGAGGGGGCATATTTCTATGATCTCATTTTGGACATGTAATCGGGTGCTTCCAGTTGTTTTTTTGAAGCTCCCACACTGATCAAATAATTAAAATAGCCTAAAGGAAGTAGTGTGAAAACCTTCCCATTTAGGCCGTACCTAAATCATCTCCAGAGTGAATGTCAGTATAAAATAACTACCGATAGAGGAGGCAAACATAGTCTATAACCCTGGACCAGATTCCATAGTTCTTGTTGTTCTTCACCCCAAAACCCCCAGGGACCGTGTCCCAAGTGAACAGATCTGGTTTGACACAGTTAATTCATGACATTCATTGAGAACAGTTCACTGTTGTTAAAATACTTTGCTTACAATGGCTTCTCAGCAGAGATTTGTTTCACACGCTGGCTACCCACGATTAGCGTGCACGACTCTTATTTGTTAAGCAAATAGTCCCTCCCACCTCATTCTTATCGGTTAAAGACATCTTCCAGACATGCCTCACCACTGGGGACAAAGGCAACACACACACAATTTACCTGACACCTCTTCATCGTGAGCTTTCAGAGTAAACAGTGGCTTATCGGAGCGAGCATCCAGACAGTACACAAAGCCGTCCTCTGTGCTTGCCTGAGGAAACCACAACATTTTAAAAACAAAACAGCTGCAGTCACTCGTTTGGAAAAAAAGCTCCCACGAAATACTACCCACCCTCTGGTAAATCCCTGTGATTTGAGATAGACTCGCACCACTTCTCGGCAGGACACATGACACAATCTACACAGGTCCACGTCCCCGCAGTCAGGCTCCATCCACCTGGTGCCCGAGCTACTCTACGTACCTAAACCATGCTGCACGGACTTACATGGAAGTCTGACCCCTACACAGATTTCTCAAATTCTATTTTGAAGGTGGTTGCACTACTAAGCTCGGCTCTCATGTTAGGCGAGGAAATACAGAGCCTTTAGTCTCTTAACTGTCAGTTCAAAGTTTCTGGAGCCCTCCAGTGGCTACATAAAGCCCTCTGCAAAGCCAAGTGTGATTCTACCGAGACACATCTACATCACAAACCCAACAGAACCGAGCAACTGCTTTTGTCAGGTGTATAGGTAAAGTAAGAGAGAACTAGGCAGCCATTGAGATAATTAAAAAAAAAAAAAAGATTTGTTTTTAAATCTGTTTAAAAGGTTTATTACAAAAATCTTGACAAAACCAAGGCATTTATACTCTATGCCAGCTAGGAGGACAGAGCCCTCTAGCGCCGATTTGAAACACTGAATTAAAACTGAGGTTCTTTGGTTCTAATTAGCTACTTCTCAGCTGCAATTGCCTCATTACGTGAAAAGAAACAGCAACTGCACAAAGGAAAACATATCCCAAACACCGAACACTATAACAACATGGCAAAGATGCTACCCCTAGAGGGGAAAAGCATCAGCATCAATTGCTTTTCTACTGTCATAATGAAGATACCAAGTAAGTAGCTGGTCTTGATTTGCTTGTTGAAAAGACTACCTCAAGTGATCCTCCCACACACTGCATTTTTCAAATAAGCAACACCAACAGTCCAACTGTCCACCAAGTCCATTATATGATTCAGAAACATTATGAACACAAAAATACAAGTTAAATGAAATGGCAAGAGTCAACAGACCCAAAGTAGAAGAGCGTGTACTCACTAAGAAATTACAAGGTGAAAAATGATTCCAAGTTACTCTTTCAACCTGCCCACTAAACCGCCACATTCGATGGTTATCTTGTGGGTTTCTGCAATCATACAGCACAGCTGATCTATGGGAAAAAGGGATAGGAAATTTAAAACAAAAAAAAAAAACCAAAAAACAAAACTATCAGTGCAGAACACTTTATGAAGTTTGTTTTACAACTGACATCTACAGAATGTCCATGTAAACAGTAATTCCAAAATTAAAATGGAAACAACTTCACTATTCCGTCTTCCACCTCAGTAACAGATGAAAACTTCTCAGATAAGCACAAGATTTTGCCATATGCTTCAAAGTTTCATCTTGGTTACAAATAGCCGTTCTACTGAGACTAGGCAAACAGAGCTTGAATTTACTCAATACATAAGATACTTATCATACTGGAGACCATAATTCTGCAAATATATCACTCAATTATGAACAGACTTCGGCAGTCATGTGATGACTGTTCAAAAATAATGCACTAATTAGGAAATCAATTTGTGATACATATACATTTTCAAATATGTTTTAATAACAAGAAATAAAACATTAATCTTTGCAAGTGGTTAGTGAAATGTTACTCCAACAATGAGAAAGAGCAGATGGGAATTAGCGGGTCCTTTGCAGTTCTTTACAGGCATGTGCTCAGCCCAGTGGTGGCAGAATCTGTCCCAACCCTAAAAAGGTCCTGGATGCAAATGCAAGATATGAGTGATGATGTCGCTCTTGCAAAATCTCCCCCAAATCAACACCCACAGTGCAACCCGTTCCCGCTCCACCCTATAATGAAAGCCAGAGAGATGTGATCTAGATTTCTCAGCTCTTTTAGGAAGCATTTTACAACAACAGTTTTAGTACATATGCAGTTTTTAACAGTGTGACTTTCAGGTTGTGAAGGCATCTGCCCATATTCATTGACTAGCCTGGGGTCCTGCGAGGCTTTACCAGAAAAATCCACAAAGACAGTCTACTGTCAGTGTACTATAGAGAGTAAACCAGTACACTGGTTTCTAGGTGTCCATGGTATCAAAGGGCTAGCTAAAAGGCATCTAGTAGCTTGTCTCAGTGTTTGGACTTTTTTCTTCTTTTTGCCAAAGGAAGTTGAGGGGGAGGAAAGTGGACAAAGGCAGGTTCCTAACAACATTAAAAGGTTTTCCTCCTATACTTTCACTTAAGCAGATGTAGCAAGAGCATAATAGAAGCTAGAGAACATAAAGGCTTGGCTAAAGACTGACAAACCTATAAATATTTTAACACAAGGACAAAGTCTTAAAGGCAGAATAACAAAATTGGTATGAGAAAAATCACGGTCATTTAAACATGATTTATTAAAATTTAAACGTTACCCCTATGAGATGGGAGAACAGAGGGGAAGTTTTCTGACTGGCAGGGCTTGTAAGAACTGGCAGTTGCAGAGCTAGTCCAGGTGTGCAGACACAAACCATTTCACTGTGTCTCCAGGCTTCAATCACAGGAGTTAGCCCGTTACCCTTTGGCTGAGGCATGCCTATCAAGAGAGGCTGTAGGGAGCGGACGGGGATTGTAAAGTCTCTCAAGGGACATCCTGGTCTTACAGCTTGGCAAAACCTGGACAAGTTTTCACAGGAAGGACCTGTGAAATTCCCAATGCAGAAAGTGCCATATGGCCAAATTAAGAAAGAAATTCAGTTTGGAGCAGACACCTGGCACAGAAAATGTCAGTCCAGATGGTTAAAGGATTTGGCTAGTCCTGAGAAAGAGCTATGGAAAACTGCATTGTGGATACATACAAACCTGGCTACCTTGCTGGAAAAAACTAACAGCATCACTAAAATTTGGCACGGTTATAAGCAAATGAAAAAGAAAACGTGAGGCAACTTAACAGGCTTAATTCAAAACTGATACCCTTCCTTTGTGTCACATTTGAAAATATTACCCTGACGTACTTATCATAAGATCCAGAAATAAGGGTCTGAGTTTCAAACGGATGAAATTGCAATGTCTGGACCTAGAAAACAGAAGATCTTATTTTAAAAAATAAGCACTGAAACATAAAACATACACATGCAGGAATTTTCTTTGAACAAACAAAGCACGTGCACCCCCTCCCCAAAACCAACACATTTTTCCCCAAGAAAACCTCCTAATAAGCCAGTTGATACTCAGACTTCTCGCGAAACAGTGCAAGAGAAGCACATTATTTTTATTCCAAACACCCCCACCCACTGGAAACAAGATATTTCCCAATATAATTAAACTGAACAAAACCACATGCCCCCTTTCTGCCCTAGATAATAAAAAAAAAAATAAGCTGGAGGAGGTAAAAGAATAACTGCTTCCAGTTTGGAAAAATGCAGATGTTAGCAAAAAATGAAAATCAGGAGTTTGCCAAGGGCAGTGACTTTGTTAACAGCAAAACAAAGTTATAGCTATTAATAACTTTCACATTTTAATTACTATGAGATAAAGTAATTTCTGAGGTACCCATCACCATGGTATTTTACTGTAACTTATTTTAAACCTTTCTTACCTAGAACAAACTGTAACCAACACTCATTGCTTCCTTAAGAGAGTGTTACAGTTTGACCTGTGCTCAGAGATCTACTTTTTGTAACTTACACCAGCACTATTAGATTCCCAATCATCAGGGATTTCACACAAAAGGCGTTTTAAAAACAGCTGTAAAACTTCGCAAAGTTTCCAAAGGGTTAAGTTTTTTAAAAGCAAATACAGGTTTGTTCACAAAAGAAACGAATTCAGAAATTTAAAGGATTCTGCACAGTTGTTAGAAAATTACAGATTTGTTGTTCTAGGGGTTCACTACCAAGCACCTAATGAAAAAATTGCAGTTATTTTTTATCTGTATTTCACAGTGGAAAAAACAAAGCAATTATTACATACCTTGTCTGTATGTAGCATCAGGGTGGCTGCTGGCTTACCCACAGACATATCCCACAAAATCACAGTATTGTCAGCAGAAGCACTTGCTAAAACATTCCTGATAAGGAATCAAAAAATGCGTTTAAAAAAAATCTTGATATAGATACAAACAAATAATGGTCAGAAATCCAAAATACATACAGAGCCTGATTCTGAGATCAACTACACTCTGGTCTACAGACTATGTATCTCAAGCCTGAGGGATAATTCCCTGAAGGTAGTTCTGAGTTACAAGTAAAGACTACAAACAGGATATATTACATTATATTAGTAGAACACTTACAGTAGTAAGTGTCAGTTTTGCTTATATTTCCACACACACCCCACTTAAAATACCATTTACTGGAAGATTTATTGAACAAAACGAAGCAAGGAAGGTTTTTAAGCACTTCCTTTCCTTTAAGATAGTATTTTTAAACATTACCTACACAACTTAGTTTTATTTGCATACACACACAGCCAAGAGTCAGACAAATCTGGGTTTGAAATATTTTGCTCTCTAATATGAGTGTTTATACAACTACTGAAAACACAACACTGTACGCCCTTCACAGAATGCCGAAAGGAACCTAGCATTTTAGTTAGTTTACAGAGCTCACTTTTCAACTTAAATTTGACTCTTTGTGTTAAGAGTCAAATAAACACACCATTTAGAAGTTTATTCGGAAAAAACACAAAATATTCCCAAAGGCCTGTCAAATACACAGTGCAATTGCTACCATTGCTCTTAAAAACAGATCGATTACCTCAACATGTTGTTTCTGATTTAAACTGCTTCCCCCTTACTTTTTTCTTTTTATATTAACCAAGTGTTTCTGACTGAAAGAGCTAACACTCTCCTGGAAACACTGTTCTCCCAGTGTTACAAGGGGAAGTTAAGAAAATGCATAGTGAAGGCTATGAGAACATTTTACAGTAACACCATCATGACCTACAGGCAGAAGGTTATTTATAGAGAGCTGTTGCAGCACGTCTTGCTTAAAAAAACCCCAGACAACAACAAAACATTTAAATATACACTAACTCAAGGAATTAACTGTTTTGTCCATAAGCTTCCCCCTTCAAGACTGTTTTCACTTCCTGAAAGATCTACCAGTATCAATGAGTTTGTAACTCAGCACATTACAGAATTATGCATGAGACACTTGACTACTGTAGCTCTAATTTTTGTGACTTGTGTCTGTATTATCACCAGACAACCATTTCTAGGTACATGAAAGCTACACTTTGGTAAGACTGATGGAATGATCACTACCACACTCTACATATGGGTATAATTTAAGAACAATAGACAGCGCACTGTAAATTAAGAGTGCAATTTATGTACATTTACTGTATGTCTGTGTGGGTGTTTCCTTCTTCAGTATCCAGATAACAAAGCACTACAAGTGAAGGCTTACACCTGCTCATCTGGAGTTCATGGAGTTCACTACGTATCTCTTCAGAGGCATTTATAACAGCAGGACAAAAAAAAACAAACAAAAAAAAAAAATCAGCCTGTGTCTGACCGGAACAGTTTCAAGGCCCCTGCTGAGGACCCTCTGACAGCTGAACTGTTAGCAACCACCTAAGCAATAAAAACCAGAAGCATCTTTACTTGACTACCCCTGACCTCTCCCCCAGGATGGGCCAGCTTTGGGCTGCTTCAACAGCAGCACCCCATTGCTAGTTCATTCAGGCAACAGGGAATTGTCTCTGCAGAGAGAGGCACTTCTGTAACCACGCTATTAGGGCTTTTACACTCTTTTCTGTTCACAGCTCTGGGGCAAAAGCTAGTGGGAAAAAAAAAAAAAAAAAAAACAAAACAAACCACAAACTACAGCTTAGCAAAGACCTCCTTCTACAAATCTGCTTCTACCTGTTGAAAGGGTGTTTTGGATCACTGGCAGATCAGCACAGATCAGGGCAGCCCTCCTGCTTCCCCAGTTTGTGCATCTGACTTAAATGTAGCAGATTTATCAAATGGCTTAGACCCACCTTAGCCCTGCCCTCATCTGGACAACCTGCAAATAAAAAGTGATCTGCAGCAATGTATTGGTTTTCAAAAAACTAAATCAAGACTTAGAATTAAAAAAAAAAAAAAAAAGTTTTCCTTTTTGAGAATTGATTCATTTCAGCACTGCTTTCAAGTTTGATGTTATACTACATCAGATTTTCTATTTGTGTGAAAAACATATACTAAATTAAGTATGCAGATTTGTAACCATCATTATTCAAGCATTCTTTTACCTGCTTTGTTTGTTCCATGAGAGATCAAGCACAGCATCAGTATGTCCTTTCACTGTCCCTTCTGAAGATAAACTCTGTGTATGCAGATAAAATGTAAACAGACTTTTGCAAATTACAGCTTCAATGGAAATCAAGCATTACAACCAACACATCAGTGGGAATTCCTTAATGCTTTCACAAACAACTCAGTATTTTAAATTATTCTCACTTGCTACAGTAAGACTTTTGATAGAACTGTCCCTGGGGTACCTGCACCTCACCTCCTACCCCAGCTCTCTGACTGCTCTGCTCGCAGCTGGTGGGCTAACAGAACCGGTTACTCCTTTCAAGTTAGGAGAAGAAACCTAATTGTGTCCAGCTAACATGCTGCTTCTTTCTAAACACTCCTGGCAGTTCCCTCTGTCTCCTCCTAATTAACTGAGCTTTAGGTCTTAGTAACTGCTAGCTCCTACAAATTCTAATTTAAAATGGTTAAGCTCTGAAGTTTACTGGGACAGCAATTGCAAACCACCCATAAGCCACCCCATTCCTCTTCTGTTCTTAATTCCAGGCTTTAATTATCCATTCAGAGAACAATTAGCATTTCAAATTGAGGTAACATTTAGGAATGGTATCTTCAACAGCAATTCTGATAACTCAGTGATTTTCAAAAGCAAGTTTTACAGAACAAATTCCCCTTCCAAGGATATTTTTTCTACTGTTTTTAAAACCAGAAGGTCTGAGAGCTCAGGAAGTAGATCCCCCTTCACAATTACACAGAGTGGTTCTTTAGCTGACTAATACTGCAGTGCTCCTTCATTTAGGAAAAAAAGATTAGCTATATACTCAGTGTTCACCTTCCCTATTTACTCTAGGGAGTTTTTAAGCACTTCCTGAAACATTTACTATATGCAAAATCTAGAAAATTTAAGTGATGCTATTTTCCACACTTGTTTTACATACTAAAGAATTTGGATAAATCATAACAACACAATCAGGCATACGATAAGGGTCAGGTTCTCCTCACATAACTTAGCATCCAGTCTAAACCTCAGCCTTCCTCTTTGGTAGTTAAGGTTTTCTCTGCAGTCCACTAAAAGAAACTCAGCCATTCTCTGGGTGTGTCTCTACACATTCACCTTAGACAACCTTGACGCCTAGCTTAAAATATGCTTAAATTTTATATAGATAAAGCTAACAGAGGTGAATCCTGAGTGAACGTATTTTACTATTGTCAACCTTGTCCTCTGTTGCTCAATGCCATTCCAACTCAGAGTCACAGGAAAATACCAAATTTAACCTACTGCAGATGTCCATGACCATATCTTCTGTAACCTGCCTAAACACCATCTTTCAACACAACAGATGGAATTAAACCAGATTATGATTTTTTCATTCTAGGAAAAAAAGCAGTAACGACATTATCCTTGCTCTAAGTTTCTTCCAACCAACCAGATAAACCATTTTGCAATACTTACTTTCTTTCCTTTCTTTTTCTTCTTTTTCTCTTTCTTGTCTCCAAGAGAAAAGACTGGTTCTAAGGAATCTACTATATCAAGGTCCCAAATGTCAATAACCGGGGTCATGTTACCCACTGCAACATAATTTCCTACAAGCAGAAAACCAAATGCAACCACAATTATTCAGTTACAAAACAGCATATTTGGCAATCCAGCCATTGCTTATTTCTTTGATTAAGTAAAACTTATATTTATGTGCCAGAATCTTCCATTTAAACATATTTGATGTTTATAACAGACAAGGAAGAATTTAAAAATATCAACTGACAGCAGATGTTGCCAGAAAAAAAAAATTACTGGCTCTACAATGCACTACCCCTTCAGTACAAGTAACTGTCCAAAGAAGCTATATAAAGTTCCATGTTTTGTTTGTTTTTTAAGGGGAAAAAACCCCAAACCACATTCTCTGTGGTATGGAAAAAAAGAAATCCGTAAGACACAGGAAAAATGTTACTAAATACATAAATATATATAAATTTTGCTGTGTTTTACAGTTAATCAACTGCATTGGCCATGATGAGTTTAAACAAAAGGAACCTTTAATCTGAAAATGGAGAATAAAGCAGATTAGAGAAGAGCTTGCTCTGGTCTGCTAATTGACAGTAACTTAACTATTTGTAATAAAACCAGTATTTTAGTCAAATCACTTGTTATGGCAGCATCACTAAAATGACATCTCACCAAACAAAAAAAAAACCCTGATATTCCGTTTTTCCATCTTAATACCTTGGTTTTATTTCTGTTTGTACCACTAGAGAAAATTATTTAGTGACAGCATTATATTTATACGCTTTCAAGTAAAAATTATTTAACTGGACATTTATAGTATCCTTTGTAATTTACCTAGTGATTCATCAGGACTAGGATCAAAATTCAACCACTCCAGACTTAGAGGGTAGGCAGGCAAGACAATGTCATGATGTACATAAAATGAGTTCTCTTCATGATTATAAACTGAAAAAGAATTAAAGATATACAAGACATCAGTGAAGAAGAAAAGCAAGCAACTATATACAGTTCACTTCTGCAAAAGGCAGATGGAGCAAATGCTAAATTGTCTAGGAGATCTAGAATGTAAATTTGCAGTATGTTCAGAGTTTTAGTGGAGAGGCCAGAGCCTCTCCTTACTAATGTTATGCCTCATAGAATTACACAAAACAAACATTCTCCTGTGTACTTTAGATAAAGAAGTGACAAGTTCAGCAAAGCTTAGACACTTTATTCCTAGCATACTATGCTACTCTGTAAGTTCACTTCAAAAGAGGGGCTCTGTATCCACCACTTTCTACATCAGGATACTTAATGAAAGTTTAGACATTCATTTTACAGATTCAGCAATTATATAAAAAAAAAAATTCCAGATGAAATCGAAGGAGACATGAAGATAAAAGACAAACAGTTTTCAAATTAGAGTAAGCTGAAGAAGTCAGACGAAGTTACCTTTAGCAGGTCTTAACCAAGATACAGGAAGAGGTTTGGCAAAGCAACCATATATTAAACACAGCATTCCCTTTAGCCAGCTATTTTTTTCCTCATAATAGAAGAATTTACTAACTGGATAGCAGGGAAAACCCATTAATTATTTTAATAACACGGTATCATCACACACAGAAAAACACTGTGCCATTTTTAAGTGCATGTGACAGATGTTGATACTAACTAATGTCTTCAGTTAAATAAGTATTCTTAGTAGTTCACTAAGACAGGGTTACCCAGTGTTTTAAAATGCAGAAGCCTGGGCTATTTTTTGTAAGTTTATATTGGGAAAATAACACAGTTAGTAAAATTTGTAAACACCTCCAGATACCGAAAATGCCAGATGCTGCTATCTGAAGAAATGCTTTCACACACTTTGGTCTTGCTGCTTTCTTAAAACAGAATACTTTGCTTGCAGAAACATGTACTATAGCAGAGGTAGCCAGAAACATTCCCCTAAAGAACCACCTTAACAAAAGATGGTAACTTCAGCACACTCAGTATTCCTTGCTGCAACAGAAAAATCTTTTACACGGTAAAACTAAACCCATCCCTAGAACAAGCGGTATGCAGACCTTACTAACCATCACCTCTTCTGAAACTAAGATGATAAAGGTGTTGATTCTTCTAGCAGTGGAAAGCCCATTTCAAGAAGCAAGGAGAAAGCTGAAGGAAAAAAACAAACCACAGCAAAACAACAAACCACTTGATGAAGCTTGCATGATATGGAAAGTAAGATTGTTTGGAAGAAAGAGTGTATGTTCAGAGAATTAAAAAAACATAGTATTTTCTAAGTGTCATTAGAAATGAAATAAGGAAAGGAAATGCTATACAGCCTGAAAAAGGCACACGATCCTCTAAGTAACAGTAACCACATGAAATACTCTAGTTCTGGAAAGTGGCTAAAGCGCCATGAATAGGAAAGTTACCTACCATGGACCTCCAAACTACAGTAGTCTTTATCAACTCTGCCACAAAGGACAAGATTGTCACTGGGCTTAATCAAAAAGTCCTCCTGTTCATACTGATCCTGAACAGGAAAAAGGAGAGGACAACGGATGTTAAACAAACCACATAAATGCAAAAAACTACACATGTTCAAAATATTGAATCAGTAATAACGTCTAACCACAACTGAAAACACTCAAAACCCAACATCCTGCTGCCCACCCACCTAAAACCATCTTAGGTGGTAAAGAGAGAAAGGCAGGAACCAGATTTGAAAATGGGGAGATTGAATAGTTGTTATATAGACTGAAGGACTGTTTATATGGACCTAGGTGGATTTAGAGAGATGTTTGATTACCAAATATGAAACCGTATGCTGAGGCCACCAGGATGTAGCCCATTACTGAAAAGAAAGTCACCACCAGGAGCCCACATACATGGCTTATTTCCCTTGTGCTCTCATGCCTTGAGCACTTATATAGTGTAACAACATAATACAAAATAAGCATACTGTAACTGCTTCTCACATCCAGGAAGCAATTCCAAGAGCATTAAAGCGTTGTCTACTTTCTGGAAAATATTTCCAGAAAAGTACTGCCAACAGCTATACTGGGCATTCAGCTGGAGCAGAACAGATGTAACCTCTCATCTAATTGTCATTGTTACTGAGGAATGGAAGGCATTCAGGGAATTTTTGTTAGTGGAAAACTAAGAAATGTACATAAAAGTCAATGGTCTTACACAAACAGAGTACCATCCTTCAAATATACAACACATTCAAGACTATTTGGACTTTTTATTGCAACCTTTTCATTTCCTTTTTATTCACTTTAAGCATCTTTTCAATATTTGAATTCTATCAAGTACCACAATTCTTTGAATTAATCAACTTAATGCTACACAATACTTAGTCTTCAACAGTACATATAGTAAATACCAAAAGGCAGCATAAAATGCATGCTGAAGAACTAAAAAGTACTCTCTTTCAGAATTTGAGAAAAGGACTTCAGTGTAGAAAGAAAGGCCTGAGAAAAAGGTGTTCATTTTTCTATGTCTGGAAGAATGTTAGCTTTTCTGACACAGAATAAATGCAGCTCATATTCTCTCTGAATCCCCCCTGTGCAAACACCTCACTGACTGTAAAAAAAAAAAAAAAAAAAAAAAATCACTTTAAATCACTTTTAAAGCCATGTACCACCTCTGCTGGTACATGGAAGCAAGAAAAATTATCAACCAGCCAGTGGAAAATATACTGTGCCCTGAATGGCACATAACAAATGAGCTAATTTTAAAGATAAAACACCCTGAGCTTTGTTACAGTATGTGAAGTCACCGTAAACAGCTCCTTTTCTGAGACCAGACGTTTGACAAAATTCCCCGACACGGAAAGTAGATGTTGTGGCAGAAGCCTACAGGCACCCTTTTCTTTCAATCTCACTAGCTTTGTAAGGAATCCAAAATAGTATAGAAAGGACAGCACCCAGAAAAATCTCAGAATCTCTATGCTTAGAAGAGGTCACAAAAATTCACCCATTCCATCACCCAGATGATCACAGTCTCTCCTGGTTGCTCTCTAGATTACGTTGTCTCTTCCGATGCAACCTCACCTTGTAACTGAATTTCTGTAATCTCTCCATGCAAATTAAGTCAATCACAAATTGCAATCTATCCTTCTGAACTAATCGGCAGGATATTCTCTGGAATCTCTCCACAGCTTTTCTGAAGAGGTACCCAATATTCTAGTCAAGGCAATACTGATGTTAAGCAGAGTAGTAGGATTACCTCATGTCTTGAATGCTGCATCCCTGTTCACCAGAAAAAGACAAACAGGCTGCGTAACAGGACAGCGCTGTTGACAATAGTTAACTTCTGTTAGACTACAGCCAGAGATTTCTTCACTCCCCGCAGACCTCCTAAAAAGCCAGCTCCTGCAAAGATGTTCCCCATCTGATGCTTGGTGGAAACCAATACAGGCAGAAGCAGTCAAGTACACAGTATGCTGTGCATATATGCTTCATGTGGACATATTTCTTCATGCCATGCCCTTAATTTGACATGTAGCCTGAGTTCACCTCTGCTTGGTTTCTTCTACAAACTACTGGTGGAAGGTGTAAATCTTGCAATCTGGGAAGTTTGCTAATTTGGGTCACTAGTGGCCTGAGATTTTTTTATTTCTTCAAGCATTTTCTGTGTCCTACTAAACAGGTGATAAACCACTCCATACACAGAAGCACGTGGTTTAAATAATGACCCAGTTTGCCTTAATATCTGACCTAAATGTAAAAAGCACAGTTAGAGGGGACTGCAAAAAGCAACCTTAAAAGAGTGTTCCATCTGATCAAAAATCTGACACACCTTCGGAAAAGGACTGCAAACACTTACAGATCCTAAGGCACTGTGGAAAATTTAACTGATTACGTTTATGCTGTTTAAGATATTTAACATTTTTATAGTACTTACAGTGGTTTTTAGAGTGATGTAAGGATCATGATCATTACTTCCATATACTGCCAGAGCAGCCAAAGAGTCTCCAAGTTTTATATCACCTAGATGGGAATTTCAGAACATTTTTTATACATGTCAATGACAGGGGAAGTTAGAACTCCTGTACCAGTACCTGTATCGCAAAACACCAGGAGTGGGCCAAACGAACTTCCAACTTCCAAACATAAGAACCTAAAGTTCAGCAGTTAGTAAGCTAAACTGCTTAGTGCTTTCAGGGACTTCTGCTGCTCTGCTCCAGCACTACAGCAGGGGGAGCGACAATCTTTCCAACATGCTCTTGGTTCTACTGTCAGGGAGGGAGACACTGAATTGTTTCACCCACTAAAGGACTTCCAAAACTGGTACAAGCAAATAATTAAAAATGTGAATTTCCAGCATCTGAAACATAGCACTGTGTAGTTTTAGGATACAAATGTCTTAGTACAACAAGAAGTGAAAAGGTTCTTCACTGACACTGTATATTGACATTTAAATTTTTCTTACCTGTGTACTCTTCTTCATCATAATTTTCCAAATCATATTCACCCAGTTCATCATCAGACAGTTCTTCATTTTTATGAGAAGACTTAGCTCTGTCAGGAATGGCTACATTCATGCCATATGCTGCCTGGCCTTCATCGCTACCATCAGCATCATCCCTGTTTAAAGACAGACATCCCTGAGAAACTGTGACAGACATTTAGAATGCTTCCACGTAATTGCTTAGGGGACTGCTGACAAAATTTCATCACACAAGCCTGGCTGTTCCCATGGGTTTCAAGTCTTTATGCCAATAATCTGGAAATACATTCACTTCTTTCCTATCTCTTCCCAAAATACAAGGCTTCCAAAGAAAGTTTTTCCTTGAAAAATTTCATGGTAAAATGTGGCACAAATTTTGCTCAACAGAGCTAAACTGTGTGTTTAAATCCCTTTTTTTTTTTTTTCCCCTGTGGATACAATGCTTTCAATTTCACTTCTGTGTGTTGACATGTGTCCAATTCATTCCTTCCTTTATTTTTTTTTCCCCACCCATAGGCCCTGTCAGACATGATGACTCTTGCATTTCTTCAAGATTTTTGAAGACTTTATTTCCTCATACTTCCCATACTTACATTAGGAAAAAAAACAGCATAAAGTTCATTAAGTAGGGACATATTGCAGGTTATTTCTTATGGGGTAAACTATGCATCCCCTAGAAAACTCAGAACTTTCATGGCAACAGTTCCACAGGCAAGGAATTCAGTAGAAGGAAGCGTACATTAAACGTTGGCTGAGGACCTAACAGACATCTGAGATGTCTCAATGGAGCATGCTCCATAGGAACTCATCCCTGCTCAATACTGTTGTCTGAAGAGGGTCCCAATACGGAGAGTGGCCCAGGTAATGACAATCACCCTGATGTGGCTACACGTCGTCCCCCTCTATTGCCCAAATCGCTGGGTTATATCCTTTGCACAGCAAGCACCCGCTGTTCACGCGCCCCGTACCCCTGGATTATTGGTCATAAGCAACTTATCACACGCCCAAAGGGAAACTGTGATAGGCAAGCATCTTGCAGTTTGCTGCATACTTGTGCTGAGCTTAGCCAGATACATAGCTGGGGAAATTCCTCATTAACAGATACAGTTCCTCACAACACAGCCCTTCAAGGTCATCCTCATAACACAGCTGTTGTTAGCAGTCTGATCTCAGGCCTGGATTGTCCAAACCCTGCAACAAAATATCGTGGCCATTCTCTGTCAGAAATTCTACTACATATCCCCCTTTTTCTTTTTGGACAATCCAGACTTGATTCATGACCTTTGTCAGCCCTTTTCATATTCATGAAATACAAAGACAGACAGCTAAAAATATAAGCAGACAGTAAATAAGCAAGCGAAAGCCTTCTCTTAATAAGCTAGCTACACATCCACTGATTACAAGACATTGCTACGGTCGCTGATTTAAATCAAGTGTTAGAAACACATCATATCCTGTTGACCCAAAACCTGTGTCTCCTCGAATGTCGGAAGGACCATTCAGAAGTGATTGATGCAAGGGATGTTTTGACTCTAAAGCAACAATCTGAGCAATTTTACTACCTTTTGGAACGGTTACTGGTGGTCATAATCCATATGCCATAATTTGGATTTGACCTGTTTAATCTGCATCAATGACACCAGGGAGCACAACAACACCCTGCTTTCCCGTGGACGATCAACCAATTAATAACCCACCCACTGGGGAATCTCTAGAAAACAAAGGTCCATATGCTGTGGTTGGTATAAGTGTCACAGAAGTACTGGTTAATGTGGTCTCTACTGCTGTTGTCACATCCACTCCGAGGCTTCCTGGGGTCGCTGGTGTGGGGTCGAGTAGGAAACCTGGGGGGTTGAGACCTGGACTTGTGTTGTCGTGCGAGGTCCCTTCGCGCTGCGCCTGCCGTTTCCCGACTTTCTGCAGGCCACAGTTGCATGAGTGTCTGTATTGCAGGTATGGCACCAAACAGGCTTGGTGCATCTGTGTTTCCAATGACCTGTCTCACCACAACGATAGCACGCGCCCGTGGTCTGACTGCTTTTAGCCAGCTGCCTCTTTGGCTGTCCTCCACTACTTCTCCACGCAGCAGCCGTTGCCGTAAATGTTTGATGAAAAGTTTCCTTCATGGCTGCCAAGAAAGCTGCAGCTTGGTTCGATTGCTCAGCCAGAGATGTTAACAGCAACATGTCATCTACCCCCGATCCTTGCAGGAGTGTGGCTATTAGGTGCTTGGTGGTGGCATTACTATTGTCAAAAGCTAGTGCGCAGAACAACTGTGTCTGCATGCCCTCAGTGAGTTCTGGAGCATCTTTCAATGCCGCATGGAGTTGGTCGACGAATTGGCTAAATAGTTCAGTGGCCCCTGTCGCACCGTTACATACGATGGTGCTTTCTTCTTATCTGGTACCACTAACAATGAGCCAATGATTGTGACTGCTGGTGGACTGGAGTCGGCAGAGCTAATTGGGCAGCTGTTGTCAAATATTGTCCGTCCCCAATTAGCATCTGAGCTGTCACTCCATATATTGCATCTCTCTGTTGTCAGGGAACACTGGTTTCTGGTACCGCTAGTCTCTTCCACTCTCTTTCCCACAAGAATTGTGATGATGATAGAAGCAGTGATGCTGTCTGCTTACTATTATTTGGACAAAAAACATCAGCTGTAAAAATGAACTGTATAATGTTTCTCGCTGCCTCAGATCGTAGCCCATAAGTGGTCACAGTTTGTTTGGCCTGGTTCAAGATCTTCCGATCATGAGGTTCCCAATTAGGACCCCCATTCGTTGTCACTACCGGGCAGGCCAACGCCCCAGCAGCATGCCAGTCCCCTTCTAACAAGGCACCAGGAATCACCCCACTCCATCGGGACTGAGCTAAAAGTGGAGCTGGTTTATGGTGAGGGTGACAGGAGTGGGTATGATGGGGCTGACAGCAGCGCTTCCTTTTCTTGTAATTGTAAATGCAGAGTTCTGTTCTGTAGCTTAACTTCTGTAATTTTCTTTCAAGTTGTTGGACTTTGTCACTGTCCCTTACCGATGTGTGACCCTCTTGCTTTAATTCGGACAGAGCCGCCGTCTCACTCTCTGAGCCAGGCGCTGCACTGCATTCCGCGGGCACTCCCCCCTGTCCCCCCGCGCCACCTGATTTCTCTGCAGCTTCTTGCGCAGTGGAGCAAACAGGAACACTTGGTGACATGCCCTTAATAGAGTGAAGCTGCTGATTACACCCGAAGAAGGTGGCTGAATCGTGACGGACGAGTGGTTTTGGCAGGGACTGGCGGGGATGGTACAGCGCCGATAGCCGCCATAGCAGCAGCAGCTACAAGCAGGAAAGAAAGTATCTCCCCCAGAGCTTTTACGATCGTTCGCCAGACCACCCCTTGCTGTCGTGCTTCACTGCCTTTACTGCCTCCAGTGATAGTCTCGTCCCAGAATAAATCACCTACTTCGCGCCACTCCTGTTGGCTAAATATTAGCGAGGGGTCACTCATTCTGACCCGTTTTCTAGCCCACTTAATCAGATTGTGGACATCTCCTTCTTTTTCACCTCTCTTAGAGAGCATACTAAGGAGCAGTCTTATTGCCGCGTCTGTTTCCATCGCGGTCTTACCTCCTGGCAAGGGTCAGTCGGCCAGCTGACTCGGTTGCTCGCGTCTCCTTTTCGCAGCAACTCACTTGCTCACCACTCTCTGGCTCCCAAATCGAAAGTTCATTCGATGCTGCGGAGTCTTCGATCCGTATTTAAACGTCCGACTTCAGAGGCTATACAGCATCCTAGTCAATCTGAGGGTCCCTGTTCAGGGCGCCAAACGAAGAGGGTCCCAATACGGAGAGTGGCCCAGGTAATGACAATCACCCTGATGTGGCTACACGTCGTCCCCCTCTATTGCCCAAATCGCTGGGTTATATCCTTTGCACAGCAAGCACCCGCTGTTCACGCGCCCCGTACCCCTGGATTATTGGTCATAAGCAACTTATCACACGCCCAAAAGGGAACTGTGATAGGCAAGCATCTTGCGGTTTGCTGCATACTTGTGCTTAGCTTAGCCAGATACATAGCTGGGGAAATTCCTCATTAACAGATACAGTTCCTCACAACACAGCCCTTCAAGGTCATTCTCATAACACAGGTGTTGTTAGCAGTCTGATCTCAGGCCTGGATTGTCCAAACCTTGCAACAAAATATCGTGGCCATTCTCTGTCAGAAATTCTACTACAGTTGCCCTTTGGCATGCAAAATTCCCAGGCAACAATGAACCAAGACAGTTCTCATAGATATGATTTCTAAATAAAATATCAGAAATCTGTTTTTATAATTTGTTCAGTAAAACAAACACTTTGCATTAACAGTTTTTCCTTGTGCAAAAACCTGTGTAACAAGATAATTAAAGACTCTAAATCTGAGTCTGATTTGTGATCTTTGCACATGAAAAAAGTGACTGATGTAACAAATTCTACAAAGCACTAGATATTATAGAGAGATCGTAATACCTTTGGTTGTTACAGATGGTCTTTAAATTTCCATCCTGAAATTTAATAGAATGCATAACAGAACCACAAATCTTTGCATGTTTTTGAAATTGCAAGAGAAAGGAATCCACTCAAAAGGACAGAAGTTCACACACATAAAGGAGAAGCAAGTAACACCACAGATAACACAAACATTAAACACAATTGGTTAAGAAATTAACATAAACTAAGAATCTTCCAAACATGTAAGATGATTTTGGAACAACTGACAAATAAAAACAGGACACATTCTGGGACAAAACACACTACTCAGCAATAAAGTCATAGATCCATCCAATAGAAATATTATCCACTCAACTATAAAAGCTTTTACTGCTACCTATTGAATCTGTTCAAACATACGTACTGTGGTATAACCACACATCCTACATGGCTGAAACAGAATCAGAAGCCTAAATCTATGAGGGGTTCTTACTGAAAAACGCCAGAAAATGGAATGAGACATCAATCATTCATCTTTTTCTTGACAAGAGAGAACCATTCCTTTATTGTCTTCCACATATTATGCTTCCTAAGTCTGCCACTTCTGTCACTCTTTTCGTAAGTTTATTTACCTTTTTCTTAAAAGCCAAGTGACGAAACACAACTACTCAATTAAGGACTTTCAGTGCTGAGTGGAGAGTTGTGATGTCTCCAGTTTCATACGTGAATCATAAATACACTCCTGAGTGGTTTCACCTTTTTTTGCCAGAGCATAAATACCAAGTCGTTCCAGGCTCCACTGTGGCCTTCAGACTCACTTCGATTGTAACATCTCGCCCTCAGCATCCACTTTTTCACGGTCAGTTTGGGACTTCCATCTCGGTTTGCTGCATCTCCAAAGCACCCCAACTTCTTATTTCCTGACTGCAGACGGGACCGGTAACTCCAGCGAGGAGCGGGCCCCGAGCGGGTCTCTGCAGACCTCACCCGAAACGCCCCGCTAAATCTGACAGCACAAGGGCTGACAACTGAAGTGCGGCACGGGAACACAACCCACGCTGTCGCACCCACGGCGAAGGCAGGACACCCTCCGCCCGACCTTTCTCCTTTCCCTCTCCGGACAAACGGCCCCCGCGGGACGTCAGGCTCGCCTGGCACAGTGGCTTTAGGAGGAATTCGCGCTGGCTGCTGCCCACGTCCATCGCCTGCTGCTGCTTCCCAAGCCGGGCCCCTCCAGCGAGTCCCCCCCGCCCCGCGGGCCGGGCTGGGGCCCGGCCGGGCGCCCCCTCCCCAGCCCCGCCAGCGGCGAGGACCGGCGGGCTCCCACCCCAGTCTCCAGCAGAGATCGGACGCGACGAGCCCCGCCTGGCCGCCCCCACCCCCCCCTCCCCGGCTCACCTCAGCCGGTCCTGGGCCTCCTCGATGAGCCGGTTCAGCTCCTCCCCGCTGAGCTGCACCTGCGGGCCGAGCACAGAGAGGGGTGAGAGGGCGGCGGGGGGACGGCGGGGCGCCCTCAGCCCGGCCCCCCGCCCTCACCTTGTCCGGCGTTTCCTTGGCAACGCCGTAGCGCACCCAGGCGGCGCACGTCACGGGGCAGCTCATGGCGGCGGCAGCAGCGGCGGGCGAGCGAGCGAGCGGTGCGGCGCGGCGCTAGCACGTGCGACAGGCGGCGGCGCGCCCCAAGTGACGTGGCTGATGGACACCCCGCCTGCAGCGGCGGCGAAAGACGGAAGGGGCGGGGACGGAGCGGCGTGAGATCATCTCCGAGCGCCGGGAAAGCCCGGAAAGGGGAGAGGGGCGCGGCCAGAAGGGGGGAGTGGCCGTGCGCCGCTAGCAGGGCGGAGCCTGCGGGCGGGGGGGCGGAGCCTGCGGGCGGGGCGGGCGGAGCCTGCGGGCGGGGGGCGGAGCCTGCGGGCCTGGGGACGGAGCCTGCGGGCGGGGGGCGGGGCCTGCTGGCGGGGGGGCGGGGCCTGCTGGCGGGGGGCGGGGCCTGCTGGCGGGGGGGCGGGGCCTGCGCGGCCATTTAAGGGGCGGTGGCCGAACTGCCTGTGGGGTTGGTTCCTCCTAACAGTTTTATTTTTTTTGTTGTTTTGTTTTGTTTTTTTTTTTTTTTTTTTTCATAAAATTAGTTGCGGATGGGCGCTTAGTTGCTTCTCGTAGTTAACCCAGGCTGTCACGCTTGGAACCCCTGCCATCTTTAGCCGGGGGTGGGACCAGCTAACGCTCCAAGATCCATTTAGTAACAGCAGTTAATGCTTTGCCGTGTAATAGGTCCTCGTGCAGCCGCTCCTCCTGGGTGCTCAGGTGAAACAAGGTGCTGCCCCATCTCCAGGCTCTTCGGGTCCTTCCCTTCCCACGCAGGATCACAGCTTCCCCCACTCGCAGGGAGAGACCTGCCCTGCTTGACGTTTGCTTCCACTTTGGCTCTGAAATGCCCCACTAGCGATCCACTAAAATGAAAAGTTTAGAAAAACCTTGTTGTTACCGATCTCTAAAATTTATCCGAGGAGAAAAAACAGTGTACGGAGTCAACAGGGAGAGGGAGTTGCGGGAAGCTGTGAGGGACTGGTGTCTCTGCAGGAGGTGCTGCATTTTGCCCTCCCAAATGTCAGCGTCCTATACTAGCTAACTCATTAAATCAGAGAAAATGGATAAAATGCCAGCTGGAGCGTACAGGAAGTTAGTCTCTTACTAACACGCAGAAATCACTGTTGTTTCCATTGCTGAATTCTTAATTTGGGGGATAACTGCAAATTGCACAGATGGGAAGCTGAGGTTAGGGGAAGGAGCATTTCTCATGGTAAAGCTCAAGGACTTGGCAACTGAACTTCAGCTTGGCAGATAGCATGGCTACATTACTTCATCCACATGTCAGGAGACAGCACCACTGTAGGATTTTCATTATTTTATCCTGATTCTTCTGTGGTTCTGGCATGAGAGAGAAGTATCAATCAAAATACTACTACCTCTTCACTACTCTGTTCATTTCACCCATTTACTGCATTTTGTCTTAATCCAGACGCAAACACACCAAGGCAAAAGATGTATTTTCCTAGTTATTACTTGTAGTACCCTGTAGTACGGGCATCCTAGTCCTACCTGGGCTCTAGATAATTACCGGTCTTGCATTTTGGTATTGTTGCCTTTTTGCCGGGCTGTTAATATTTACTTTGCTGGTCGCCTTCTCTTACAGTGTTAAAGAAATCCTTCTTGTCCTCCCACACACAAGTTGGCTACAGTTTGACTGTCAGTCTTTCTGCAGAATCGGAGGGAAGTTTTGTGTAAGCAGATGCTATTCCCAAAGGGCAGGCAGAGGGGAGTGTTATGCAGCCAACAGGAGGAAAGCAAGGCTGCTTTCCAGTGGCTGTGCTTCCTGGATATGTTTTTTTTTGTAGATATATACATTTACAGTGTGGAGGTTTGCACAACAAACACTTGAGCCAGACTTGCTTTTACCAAAGCAATACCCAGAGGGGGCACACATGCTCTACCTTCCCTCCCACCACGTACATAATCACAAAATAGCAGTGTACTGTGGTGAGGCTCAGGAACAGAAGTACCAAAAAAGAGACTTGGAGAAGGAGGAAGGGAGGAAAATAGGTAGCAGCTGTGCCTATGGGTATTGCAGCTTTGAGAACTGCAGTTCATAGTAATACTTCTTCTCCTCTTTTGAGACCCTGTCCGTAAATGCTGGGTGACTCCAATACTTCTCTCCATTATACACTTGCTGGGGATGCGGAGCTGGGTCTCAGGGTCTTAAGAAAAGAAAAACCGTTCTATTAAATATACTATTGTTCCACAGTGCCTTGGCAATCAGTGATGGGGTTGAAAGAGTGGTGCCTGCAGACACCTGAGATAGAGAGTAACTGAGATCCAGTGCAGTACAGCCCACTCACCCCAAGGAACCAGCCAGGACGACTCATAGGTTATAACACACCAGCAAAAAATGATCTTTTTGGTATTTAGTGTCCAAAGATGATTCAGCCACAGAGATGTGAAGATTAGGAAAGAAAGCAGATGTTCATTTCTTAATTTGGATGGAATTCTTACACAACCATTGGAGAAATTTTGGGCTGAACCCAAAGAGCTGCCCTCATTGGAAATGAGGTTGTATAGCTGACAGAAGTCTCTCTGAATCTCTGCTAGGTGGAAGAAATGGCCATGAAGAAAGCTATGTGCAAAGGGAGACAAGGACTCAAATGGCTGTCCCAGGAAGGGTGCAAGGACCAAGTTCAGATCCTGTGGAAATAAAAGGTCTCTGACAGGAAGAATTGCCATCAAACATTCTCATGCCATAATATGTTCTGGACTGGCCTTGGGCCTTTCCTAAAAATGAGCTTCTAAAACTTAAAGGCTTCATTTTCCTCCGCTCCCCCATCATGAGAGAGCAATCAGACACAGCAGTATTTCTCCACCAGAGCTGGTTTGTGCCTGGAATCTCTCTTAGACTCGTTTCTTATCATCTGATGAGCAGAGCTGAGATTCTTTTTACCCCGATGGACCTCCAAAAAGTAAGAAAGTAAGGCAAGACCTGACAGTAGTGATTTTCATTGTTTCAGTTTAGTCACCAATTCTGGTGTCAGAAACTTCTGCCTGTCTGAAGGGAAAAGCACTGAAGCATTTCCCCTGCTTCTGGATTTGACCTATTCAGACCTACTGCTTTTCACCTGAGGACGCAAGTGCTGGGTAGTTCTCATCAACAGGAAGTGTGTGCCTGTATCTTGCTCAAGGTGTTGTCATAAACCTTCAGAAAGGTTCAGCTGGATTAAGTCACCTCGCTAAGCTGAGCAAACTTTTGTTCTGGTGTGGATTGATCAGATCAACAAAAGCAGGGTCAGTGGAAAAGGTCAATGGCTCCTCCAAAGGGAAGATGCAGCTTCTTTTTTAGGGGATGTGTCAAGGTTCCCAGAGAGCTGTGGTATTCCTATTCACACTAAGTAAAGGTGGAAGAGAGAAGAGAGCTGGTTGATGAAGGAGGGATGTTGAATCAGCTGGTGCCAGCAGGCTCTCCAATAACTATTTGAAAACTTGAAGAGCTCCAGTGTCCAAGGCTCTGCAGGGACCTTGATATACCTTGCATCATGAAGCTGTCAGAGACACTGTAAACATTTCTAATATGATATCTGGAAGGTACTACAAGGCCATGAAAAGGTGTATACTATAAATCATACAGGCTGTAAGCAAGAAAACAAAGGGAATCTATGTGTTTTGAGTGAAGTTATGCTGTAGGCTTATGGCTATGGTTCAGCTGACCTCTTCAGATAAGAAGGGGATTGCTTCACTAGCGCAGCGTGTCACTCAAAAACATTTAGATTTCTCAATGAGCTGCAAAATATTAGTGTTGCAGTCCCAAAGATGCTGAACAGCTAAAAGCAAAGTCACAACATCAAGAAATCCTCTAACTTAGGAAAGAAAGAAAGGACTACTTAACAGTGGCTTTGAAACACCAAGGGCAGCCATAAAAGTCCTCAAGGTTACCTTTTGATTCTCTATTTGCATTCCCTGTGTGTTTCTGTGAAATACAGGGCATGAATAGTGGGAAGAAACCAAAGAAAGATCAGATCTCAGTAGAGCAGCATCTTGTCAAGGGAGGCCACATACCTTGTTTGCACACAGCAGCATAGCCTGGAGGGGAGAACTCCTGAACTGATAGCTAGGCATAAAGTTAAGTTTTCAGGTAGTTGAAACAAGGCTGCTTTGGTTTTCTTTCATCCATGACCTCCTTAAGGAGTTCTCTGGGAGAGCACCAACCTCCTCACTTTAAAAGATAAAACATCGTTGCGTAAAGGTTTATTCTCCCAGATCTTATGTATTGCTTTTGGTGCATTTTGCTTAACTTTATGGAATAAACTAGGTCTGTCACTTACTTTTTAACTATGCCTAGTAATAAGTGTGATCTCAGTGTGAACCAGATACATATTATGGGCATTAAATCCTTATTGAGATACAGGGAATGTATTATCAGGGCAGAGAGGCGTGCTTATGGAGCATCTGCTTCCCCAAAACGCATGCTGAGAGGTTGGGGGTGAGAATCTCCTCATGCCTGCAATGAGTGCTGTCAGAGAGTGCTGGAACCAACATAAAGGAAGGAGAAGTATTGTCAGTGCCCTCTCGGCAAGCTGGAGAAAAGATGGCTGGATATGGAGAATAGTCACGTTTGCCACATACAGCCAATAGAGAAAAATAACTTTATATGCATTGGTCTACTGGGATCCAGGACTAGGGAGCTGAGAGGAACGGAGGCATGCGGGAGAGGAAGAACCAAGATGCACATGATGGTAGGACACAGTTAAGGACCTAGCAAGCCGTTCTCGGCCAACTTAGAGAAAGCGAAGGCAGTTGAAAAGACGCGTAGAGCAATACAACATGTTATGGATTTCCTAGTAAAGTCAGTAAACATATGGGCATGGGAAGAAAAACAACTGGCAGTGCTCCACGTGCTGGGACTCAGCCAAATTATGCGAGTTCTGCCGCGTAATGCTTGTTCTCACAGCAAGCGGGAAGTGGGGCCCGTGGGCGCTCCCCAGGCGTCGCTACAGCCTCCAGCTCCAGGTTTTGCCAACCAGCGGTCCACAGTGTGGGCGCACATTTGGGCGAGCACCGGGAAAGGTGACACGTGCACGCGTGGGAGGGCTACCTCACACCTCTGAGGTCAGATGGACGCACCAGAACACCCGAGGACTCT